GGGGGGGGGGGGAGTGTAATTTAAATACCGCCCGCTAATTACATAGCATTATTCTTTGTAAAAATTGAGCCAAAAATCCTGAACCATTTTTTTCTAGTTAAACTAAATAGAACGATCCACTATTGCAGTAATTATTATTTTACTAAGCATTGTAGACAAAAATAGTTCTTAAATAGTACTTAATAGTACTCATCAATTATATATCGCTAATCCTTATAAAACATTGAGTCAAAAAGTCCTGAATTACTTTTCTTTACAATGCTCAATAAAGCAATAATTACTACAATGGTAATCGCTTCTTTAAGCATTATAGAAAAAAATTGTTCAAGACTTTTCGATGCAATTTTTTTAGAAGGAATAACGTTTAATTTAATTAGTAAGCGGTATTTAAGTTATACATATATTACACATCTATACTTTGTGATATAAACTTCTTCCGAACGGTAACCTTTGAAGAAAACTGTAGGGAATAACAACAAGTGCTGTGAATAGAGGGAAAATACACATGTTAAATCAAATTTAATTCTATTTACATGCCGATAAGAAGAGCTGCGGATTAACGAATCTGATTCCAAGCGATTATCCTGTATATAAATAATTAATTATTTATATTGAAAAAATTCTCTTTGAAAGAGAAACAATCGTGTTACTTCATAATGTAATATTGTTCGCGAGATTGCCATGATAAAGCGATATTTCTAACTTCTACGCGTATTGATGAAATGAAGAAAGGAAGATGAATGGCGCGTAATACATTTCAAAGGCGATTTATCGATACGCATCATAATCTATAATTTATGCGTAGCTCACATTGATGGACTTTCAACGATGTTACTTAAATACTTTTATAAGAATTTTTCCCTTATATACATTGTATTTTCTTTTTAAATAATGACGCGACATTAACAGTGTTAATGCCACCTACAATTACTAGATTTTTAGCTGCATTTTTTCGGATTTTCTATAATTCTTTTGTCGATTTTAATCTCATGATTAGCATTAGTTTTATAACCATCATATCGCGTTGCTGTAATTATCACTATTCATTAACGCTATTGCTATTATCCATACAAATATTGTTATTACGATTACTATTCGGCCACACCATATTTAAGACACATACTATAGTTTGGTATGATAATTTTCATTCTAACAGTACTAACGTTTTTAATAATTTTACAAAAATGCTTTGCTCGATTCGACCAATTTTTGTTGTGCTCAATAAGATACATTACATGTAACATTTCGGAACTACAATAAGTAAAAGAAATCGTTTTAAAAAAGATTTATCTGCGCGCGCGCGCGCGCGCGTGTGTGTGTGTGTGTGGCGAATTAACGAATGAATGAGAATTTATAAATAAAAGGTAAAGACGAATGGAACGAAGCGATCGAATATTCATGTATTAGAGATCATGATGCATATATTGAAATGAAAAACTGTTATGTACATATATATGATTATTATAATAATATAAGCTGCTTATAGACATAATGTATTTTTTGTAGGGACCATAAAATATAAGCGGAATATATAATGTTATATATACGAGTATTAACGAGTGATAACTGAATATTGAGATAATTGATTCTGTCATATTTGTGAAAGCAATATGCGATCGTTCGTGCGACTCTGAAATAATGAAAAACAAAGACAGGAAATATCATGAGAGTAAATGTTATCGTATTTATGTTTCTCTTTAATGAATCACATACATCATATGATAATGATTATTAAATGAAATAATGTGGCTTTCGTTAAACAATAAAACTATAAAGATATACAGCGCAAGATACGGTAATAAATAGGTAGTAATAAATATAAACGATGCGAGAGAAGCATTGAAAAAAATTTAAATCTATATAATTTTTTCTACTTTACAATATGGATCGAATATTATTACATATTATCTCGAGTCGAGGTATGCCTTAAAAATAGAAAGATTAAATAATTCTCTTATAGGAACATTGTTAAAAAAAAAAACGATTACAATTTTTTGACATATTAATTGTAAATAGCGATAACTGAAGATATTGCTAAAAACGAGAGAAGATGGATTTTAATGCGAATATTGAATCATAATCGCAAAAGCTTGGATAGCATTGCGAGCAAAAGAGATAATCGATTATTAAATTGCATTCATTTTTATATTGTAATCTCTACATAAGAATCCAAGATTTATTAAAAACTTGATCGGCATTGTATTTATCAGCAAAACTTTCAGTTTTTAAATTTCATTTTTTTGTAAAAAAAAATTGATATGGTATACATTTGAAAGAAATTTAAATTATATGAACAAATAAATTATCTAGCACGTAAAATATGATAAGAACCGATAGTCAGTCGATTGCGAAGTAATTTGCGATTCTTATAGACAAACGTCCGTTTGGTCTCATAAAACAGAGATAATCACGTCGAAATCTTCTTTTACGTGATTCATACAAGCCTAATTTTTTCGGAAGGCAAACAAAATGTATTTACAATGAATAAATGTTTTGAAAACTGTTAATTCTGAGTTTAATTTTTTTTGGATATCTACCTTGAAAAATGATACGCTCTATTGTATGTGATTATAACTTTTAATGAACAGCTAGATTTTATAGGAAAATTAGTATGATATTTTGAATGATAGCAGCACGTATACAATTAATTCGCGCATTTCTAAAATATATTTTGTATTATACTGTACTATATTTTTTTATATTATCCTCTCTCGATACTGTATTATACCGCAATAATTACGCATTCTGTTCTGCGCGCGCGATAACATCATTTGAGTTTGGCGCGCTGCCACAGTTCTCGATCGGGCTGTCAAATCGCGAGAGCGAAGCGTCGATTGTCGAATGGAGCATTCAGTACCGTCTCCACTCTCCACTCCATTTCCGCCATTTTCTAAACGCGTCGGTCGGGTCGGTCCGTCGTCCGTCCGTCCGTCCGTCCGTCCATCTCGTCACAGTCAGTTGTTCACGGGCTTCTCTAGCGTGTAGACGTGCGTGAGTGGCGAGTGTTTGGCGTGTTTCCTGTCGCCTACGGAGTCGCGTTTTCGCTAACGAACGCCCTTCCGTAGCTTCCATATTCAATGTGTATGGCGATTCAGGTGAGTGCTCGCAAAGACTCGTCGCATTGTTTCGCCTTTCGCCGGAGATCGCGTGGAGACAAGAAACGCGAGAAACGGCGCGCCCGCGTGCGGAGGAAAAGTCGATCGTCGCGTTTACGATTCCCCATGGCTCCTGCTCCTGCTCCGGCTTGTACGAGTCGCGGAGATGTATGGTACGCGCCCCGCTCACTCATCGCTGCGTGCGCGCGCGCGCGCGTGTGTGTGTGTGTATGTATGTATGGATGGATGGATGGATGGATGTGTGCGTGCGCTTCACGGACGTGCGCGGCGTGGCGCGGCGCGGCGCGGCCGACGAACTCTGGCGTCTCGTCTCCACCGCCACGCCACGCCACGCCGTCACACTATCGAGTTGTCGTCGTTACGTTCTCGCGACGGCCTCGACGCTTCTTCGGCGCGTGGCGCCGGGCGCGTAGCGCGTGGCTTTTCGAAGGCTTCCGATGACACGAGGGTAATTCCCGTAGCTATTCTAATCGCGCCCCGAGTGACGCCACCTTTCTAGCTTCGCAAACTTGATGCTGCGTGAACGGGTCGCTCGCACGTGGCAATGTAGCTCGAAAAACATCGATTGTGCTTTTGACATTTCTGTCGCTTCCCGAACGCATCGCGCGGCCCCTACCTTTGCTTTATTTGTATCGGATAAAAAGTTGAGATAAATTCACGTGTTTGGAGAACCACGTTAAAATGCATGGCGCAACAGTAAAATTTACAATCGAGCGTGCCACATTGTTACTCACGCTTTCGATATTCGATATAACGATGCCGCCAAGGGAGTAGTGACGTCAGTGAAAGCTCGTCCGCTTTGTCGAGCTAGCCCATGTTCGTTTCGATTTTTCTTCGCGACATCCAAATCGCAAAATTAACTCGC